GAGCTGATCATTCACCACTGCAGGGGCTTCACAGACCAACTGCTTGCAGGTTAGACCCGTCAGGTAAAACAGCGAGTCCCAGTACAGGAACATTACCGGACATGCAGTATAATTCTCCACATCCTCTGGTCACAGTGCAGCAGCAAGAGGGAAAATATATCCAAAACCAGGCACAGTAGAAATATACTGCTTTTACAATATCACCGGTGGATGTCAGGCAAGATCACATGAATGTGCAACAGCCTGGAGATTATGACCATTCAAGGAGATCCTTAAACCATACTTTAGTTTGTTAGAAAAAAAGTCTTGCAAGTGAAAGTTTGAGACGTGTATAAACCCAGTTGCTTCTGCATAGAAATACTAGAACATATGTACACTTCTTTCTTTTAGCTTTAGGTCATGTCTAACCATTTAAAAACTCTAGACATCTGTCTATCCTTTGCCTGCACATTTTAAAATCTTTTTGTAATAGCTTTTTTACTAATTCCCTTTTTTCTTATTCTAAATATTAATTTTTATTGCACACTAACCTTTTTAGCACTGCCATAAGAATATGGCACTCTGTCTTTTATATCACACACTGTATAAGCATGCAGGAAATAAACCTTAGTGTCTTGAAATTTGGATCTTAAATTGGATTCACTGAAAACTGTTGTCATATGCTGGCCTTGCACCTAATGACTTTTCAAGTGTCTTCAGTGTTTCAGATAAATTTCCACTGTCCAGCTAAAATCATGGTGATCTGAGATGTTTAACGCCTGTGTATTTCTCATCTTGACGTTCTGATAGTCAACCATGTTTAATATCATCTGAAGCCTTTCAGTCTTGACTCATGCAAACCACGAAGTGACCGTCATAAACAACCAATAGGTGAGCTCTCTCCAGAACCAAACAGGAAGCAGCACAGAAACGGCGGTAAACATGAAGGAGACTCCAGTGAGGCTTCGGTTTTGTTGGACTGTTACAAAGGAGGAGAAAGTGCTGGAGTTGTGAGTGAGGAGGAGTGTCTCTGTGACGTGTCATCCAGTTTGTACCCGGACTGAGTGAAGAAAGAGAAAAGGTGGACCGACCTCGCGGTCCCCTTTCAGTCAACCACAGGCCGCGCTCTTCTCATTTTCTTTCCGGCTGTGTTTTCCAAGCAGAACACTGCACACACACAAGTGCAGCTGTGGAACACCTCTTTTGTTTCTGCTCCATTTCCCAATTCTTTCTCCTTGTAACTTCCCACCAGGAGCATGATGGGAAGTAGTCTCAAGAGAAATCTGGTTGCAGTCTTGAAAACAGTGACCCTGCCGGATCCCCAGTCTTTGTAAAATCACAGTCTGTGACAAAAACTGACTAATGACACATTGTCTTTAGATGTGAGAGGGTGTCAGACCTTAGACCTTTCTCAGACTTATAGTCTTCTAGTGTAAGGCCGGCAATAAGCTGAACAGACCTGTCTCATTCGGAGTTGCTGTGGACAGTGTTATTATACTTGTTGTTTAACCACCTGCAGCAGCCCCTTTCTAGTTATTTGTGTGTAAGCTTAGATGTGGCGTCTTACAGACAAGAACAAATTTAAAATGGCAATTCTGAGCTTGATGCGTGATGTCAAGGCAAACGTTTGCTACAATAAGTTACTAACGAGGTGTTACAACAGAAGTCCAGTTTGTTATAGCAAGACAGATAAAACCACAGAAGTCGTAAATATCCTGCCTCTCACCCTCACATTTGAGCCCCTGCCTGGCGAGCCCCCACAGCAGAGTCCCACAGTGTTCACAGAAGGTGGGACTTTTGTAGTTGTAGACTTTAAATCTGTGGGGCATGTCGATCTTGAAGCGCTCCTTGTGGATCTGCAACACATGCCACATATGACACACAGCTTAGTTCAGGTTGAATCTTACAAACAGACCAAACAAAATCCAATAGCAGGAAAAAAGGCAATAGAAACATTTCCTGTATCCAGACAGTGGGTGGCAGTTCTGGGCTTTATAGTGAGTATTACCACATGAGGTTTTGGTTTCATGAACCCAGCAGGCATGTGGCTGAGGAGGAAGTGAAACGAGCAGCAGCAGCAGAAAAGATGAGATGTGACTGTGTGGAGTGATGATACCTTTGTATGAGGTGACTGCTTGATTAGTAAGCTTTACAACCACATGTTTACAACTCTCGTACACATCAACATACTGTTACCTGAAACAATTGAGTGTGTGTGCGACGCAGATCCTTACCATTGTTTCTTTGCTGTTTATAGCTGAACCAGTGCACTTGGCGATAACTTTGTCTATGCATTTCTTGTGGATAGCTGCGTTGCACTCTAAATGACACAGAGGTGACCGGGTTAAATGCATGGGAAAGGGAAAAAAGGCATCCAGTACATCAGTGGAAAATATACTGAAACTTACGTCTGCACTGGTAACCCTGCTTGTTAAGACCCCTGCAGTGGAGAACATCAGGTGAAATGACTACTATGATCAAAGAAAATGAGTAATTTGGTGATTTTATGATGTGTCCATTTGCTGCATACCAGACAAACTCTTTGCAGACAGAGCAGAAGGTCGGTTGAGGGAAGAAGGTAGCGCTGAACTCGTGACATTTGACAACATGAATTTTGGCCTGCTTGATGGCACCACGTCGCTGATGGAGGGTGAACAGACCCTCTTGCTCCCGTTCAGACTCGGGGTCTCCCTCAGTCTGACCTGCAGCATCTGAAACATGTCATACCTTTTATTTCAAAAGGAAATCGCATCTAATGATATGTAGCTGTGGAGCTCAGCTTCCTGTGAACAGAGTGATGAGAAGACTTCTGTGAGGTTTCAATTTCTCACCTTTTGTGAATTTAGTTTCTCATGTAAATCAGAGTTTCTTTTTGGCCAAAGAGTTCAGCTGTACCATATCTTATGGATGAAACAGTCACACTTAATGATCTTTAAAAGTTATCAGACCTTTTTGTTTGTGAGAGGGTTAAACACTGAAATTCTTCAATTTCCCAAGTAAATTACTGGCCCTGGTGTTTCAGACTAACACAAGTGAAGCAATATTTAAAGTGTGAGGAAACTGCAGCTACATTCTTTGATTCACGACTTTTAAATTATGGGTTTGCTCACAAAGCTGCTTACTTTAGGTGCTAAGCGCTCTCACAAGCCACTTTACACAGAGCAATATGTGCATATTGTGAAAGGTTTTGGCACAAACTCAACTGACTGGCTTCTCTCCTGTATGACTTCAGAATCTCAGAATCAGAATCAGCTTTATTGGTCAGGTATGTCGGACACACAAGGAATTTGACTCTGGTACATCGGCTCTCAATGTGTATGTACATATCCCCATGCAAGGGGCAAGTAAACAGTAAACCAGCATAAGGCTGTGTAATATAACAAAATAAGCAGCATTAACAAGCAACAAACAGTGCAAACAATGCAAACTAAGCAGTATAAACAGGCAGTAAACAATGCAGACAAAGGAATGCTGATTGTGAAATGAGATACAGTGCCTTGCGAAAGTATTCGGCCCCCTTGAACTTTGCCACCTTTTGCCACATTTCAGGCTTCAAACATAAAGATATAAAACTGTAATTTTTTGTGAAGAATCAACAACAAGTGGGACACAATCATGAAGTGGAACGAAATTTATTGGATATTTCAAACTTTTTTAACAAATAAAAAACTGAAAAATTGGGCGTGCAAAATTATTCAGCCCCTTTACTTTCAGTGCAGCAAACTCTCTCCAGAAGTTCAGTGAGGATCTCTGAATGATCCAATGTTGACCTAAATGACTAATGATGATAAATAGAATCCACCTGTGTGTAATCAAGTCTCCGTATAAATGCACCTGCACTGTGATAGTCTCAGAGGTCTGTTTAAAGCGCAGAGAGCATCATGAAGAACAAGGAACACACCAGGCAGGTCCGAGATACTGTTGTGGAGAAGTTTAAAGCCGGATTTGGATACAAAAAGATTTCCCAAGCTTTAAACATCCCAAGGAGCACTGTGCAAGCGATAATATTGAAATGGAAGGAGTATCAGACCACTGCAAATCTACCAAGACCTGGCCGTCCCTCTAAACTTTCAGCTCATACAAGGAGAAGACTGATCAGAGATGCAGCCAAGAGGCCCATGATCACTCTGGATGAACTGCAGAGATCTACAGCTGAGGTGGGAGACTCTGTCCATAGGACAACAATCAGTCGTATACTGCACAAATCTGGCCTTTATGGAAGAGTGGCAAGAAGAAAGCCATTTCTTAAAGATATCCATAAAAAGTGTTGTTTAAAGTTTGCCACAAGCCACCTGGGAGACGCACCAAACATGTGGAAGAAGGTGCTCTGGTCAGATGAAACCAAAATCGAACTTTTTGGCAACACTGCAAAACGTTATGTTTGGCGTAAAAGCAACACAGCTCATCACCCTGAACACACCATCCCCATTGTCAAACATGGTGGTGGCAGCATCCTGGTTTGGGCCTGCTTTTCTTCAGCAGGGACAGGGAAGGTGGTTAAAATTGATGGGAAGATGGATGGAGCCAAATACAGGACCATTCTGGAAGGAAACCTGATGGAGTCTGCAAAAGACCTGAGACTGGGATGGAGATTTGTCTTCCAACAAGACAATGATCCAAAACATAAAGCAAAATCTACAATGGAATGGTTCAAAACTAAACATATCCAGGTGTTAGAATGGCCAAGTCAAAGTCCAGACCTGAATCCACTCGAGAATCTGTGGAAAGAACTGAAAACTGCTGTTCACAAACGCTCTCTATCCAACCTCACTGAGCTCGAGCTGTTTTGCAAGGAGGAATGGGCAAAATTTAAGTCTCTTGATGTGCAAAACTGATAGAGACATACCCCAAGTGACTTACAGCTGTAATCGCAGCAAAAGGTGGCGCTACAAAGTATTAACTTAAGGGGGCTGAATAATTTTGCATGCCCAATTTTTCAGTTTTTTATTTGTTAAAAAAGTTTGAAATATCCAATAAATTTCGTTCCACTTCATGATTGTGTCCCACTTGTTGTTGATTCTTCACAAAAAATTACAGTTTTATATCTTTATGTTTGAAGCCTGAAATGTGGCAAAAGGTGGCAAAGTTCAAGGGGGCCGAATACTTTCGCAAGGCACTGTAAATAGGGATAAAAATAGAGTACTTAAAAATAGAGACCTGTATGGATCTGTACAATCTGTACGAGGTATATTTACAGGTATTGCACTGAGGGTTATTGTCCAATGATACTGTCGTGGGTCAAGTGTTCATCAGAGTGACAGCCCGGGGGAATTCACATCAGACCTTATAACCGTGCATCAGCTTCCACAGTAACTTCTAATTGGAGTTGTGTGTGGGAACCTCTTTCACCCTCACTCTCCATCACGCTGGCTGCTGCTCTAGTTCTGTTATCTACTAATATTGTGAGACAGCATTTTCACCTTGATGATAAATATCGTCACATTTTAATATTGCGAGATATCATCACACCCCTAATAAATATATGAAACAAAATCAGATAACGGCCCATTTGTTTCTTTTTCAAATTGGCCACCAAGTACACAGATCATCAGATGTCATGATCAGCATCACACCTCTAGCACTGAGGCTGCCATACTTGTGTAATGAAAATAGGGGCGGCAGTTTGCCGGATTTTTTTAAGTTCGGTGTCTAAAGGTGTCTAAATCAAAAAAGCTGCCTTGAAGAAGGGTTAAGATATTGGACGTTTGCTGCAGCCATCGGTGTAGCTGAATATCTGACTCTCTAAACCTTTTCCAAAGCACATGGGTTGATCTTTATGCCTCCACCTCTCCCAAAAAAATGAGCACATTTTCCAAAATGCTAAGCTTTTCCTTTAAAAAAGTTTATTATCAATTTAGAAAGGAGTCTGCTGCAAATATTTCCACATTGGCTGAATATTTGACTGCTGCCTAATAAATGTAGATCATCAATCTGAGCATAGTTAGAGTATGTTGTACAGAATGTGTGTTTGTGTGAGCATTTGTAGTCGAAGAGGAAGTTCAGCAGATTGAATTGTGTACCAGTGGCTATGCCACCTGTTGTACTGAGCAGTGATTTCCTGTTTGCTGGATCTAAAAATAGAAATGGGAGCTGGCTCGTTCCCTTCAGTTCTCAGCAACTTCTCAGGCCTTTAGGAGGTGTTACTGTCTGGAAAGCCCAAATGAAAGGGAGCTAACACAGCAAATGCATGTCCACTCCCAGCAATCAGAGACAGAGGTTCAAACTCTTATATTGTATTTAGGGGCAGTAGGTTGATTTACTCACCACTTTTCTCAAGATAATATTTGGCCTCCATCAGCAGGCGACCCTGTGGCTTCAGCTCCAGCTGAGTGGAAAAAGAGAAACCGAAACAAAAGCAACATTTTAGGACAAAAATTCATGAGAAAATTAATGAGTATAAACTGCATGAAACTGTGCACGTCATGCTGTTTGGCTAGAGACAGACAGTCTGGCAAATGAGACTGGGGAGGATTTAGTTCCAGCATCTATTTGATTTGACTCATCCATTTGTTAGTTTTGCTTCCAAGTGATCTGTTTCATTTCTTGTTACTTTAAAAATAAAGTAAGGAATTTATGTGGGCAGTAATAGTTTCCATTATCTCGATACATGTAGTGTGTAATTCCGGCCTGCATGTGAAAAAGGTGACCAGGGTTGCAAGAAGTTCTTTTAAAGTATTTTGCCTGTGTTGCATGCCAATAATGAGGGTGGAGATGGAGGCAGGATGATACAGACACGGACTATCCCTTTTAAACATTTGGACTTTTGACCTAAGGCAAGTCGGCCCATCTGGACTTTGCCAGAACAGCCACACAGCTGCTCTGTGTGTCTGAAAGCACACTGCACTGACCCAGATCTCCAGCTTGCCATTCTCCTTCTTGCATCGTGTTGCCAGCGGCTCCAGAGGCACTGTGGCTTCAGATTTCAGCTCCGCCGCCCGGTCCTTCACCATCACATGCATTATGCGACCACGGTGGATGTGGGCATCGAACGTGGTACTCCACGGCGGGTACATGGTGGGCTTCTTCTGTTTATACACCTGGCCCTTCTCTGCACAAAAAGAAAGTACAAAAAGAAGAAAAGACATCCCTTTCTTAACAGGGCTGTTCTTTACTTAGACAGGAAATAAGCTCTTGTGGGTTACTTTTATTTTCACTTCAGTACCTAGAAATCCTGTGTGTCAGCAAATTAAATGACTTCTTGTACCTGGCAGGGTAGAAATAGAAGCAAGGTGCAGCCATATCTGGTGAGACAGTTTCTTTCAGGACATGAGGTTGGTCCAATTTTTACATTTCTTTATTATCAAAAAATCCAATAAAAAGACCAAAACAACAATACACGCAATGTCTGCGAATCTCCATCCATCCAGACTAATACACTGTTTGTTTTGGGTTTTCTGTGGGATTTGTTGACAGTAACAAAAATATAGAATCCCACCAGCCGTGTTCTTTAAGCAAATAATTCACAGGTTTTGATTAATAACATCAGGAAGATGGAGAAAGTTCCTGCCAGAAGCAAAAACCGACATCAGGATTTATTCCAGTCCAACAGGATGAAAGAACAGAATCACTCCGGGGGGATCGGATCTTCTTTTACAGTCCCCACTGAAATCTGTGACTACTTCACATTAAAATATGTACTGTAATCTAGCACCATCTCTAACTTTATAGTCTTATTCTCTTCTCTGGTCATTGCATTTAGCTTCCACTGCAGCATGATTAATGTGTGTGCGACCAGCCGCCCACAGAGCATCATGATTACCAGTTCACAGTATTGAGAGGTTTTTAATCGCATCACATGACCGGGAATAAAAAGCCCCTCTTGGCTTCCATAATTGACATCTGCTGTTTTTCCTATGCAGTCACATCCCATATACCCATTACATAAGAGCCACATGCTGTCCTGCTGCTGCAACAATAAAGCCCACTGAGCCTTTTACTCCAAAAGTGATCTGCGGTCTTCTCCATCATCGGCTAATCGCCTGTCTGTCCACCGGCCCTGCCAGCTGCCGTTTGTTCTGATTAAAGCACCAAGAGGAAAACTTGTCTGTTTCTCCCAGACACACAGGATACATCAGACAGTGTGTTTTGTTTAAAAAAAAAGGTTTCCCTGTGTAATTTTGCAGGGTGAGAGGTGACATGTTTTGGTGTCAGTCAGTTCCTGTTTGATTCTTTGAAAAAGTTGTAAGGTGACATTTACACGCAAGTGTGCTCTCATATCTGTACACCATCAAAGATGTTTTAGTGTTGATCTTTTTAGGGACTGTAGCTCTTTTATCAAAGGTTAGTTGGAAGGTTAGTGGAAACACTGAAGTAGAATTTATTTGAGTGCTTCAGTTCAAAGTGATCGCCGAGGCCGTGGCGATGGGTCTCATTCTTTAACTGTTCTTAAGTTACTTTTGCTATTAAATATGGCAGCTCATTCGCTGTTCTCAGCTTCATAACTACACAGATTTGTCTTTGGCTTGGAGTTTGTTGCTCCACCATCTTTATATTTTTGTTGTAGTGTTCCTGGCTTTCTCAACTCGTTTCCATTTCTTTGTGAGACTGCTGTATGCACACGGCCCAGCAGTCTCGTGCCCTTTTATGGGCATTAGTGGGATGTTAGCCTATGCTAATTAGGAGTCACTGGCATGTGCGTTCAATTTACGAACATATGGGATGAATCAATATAAGAACACGGGTGCGAACAATTCTGCAGTTTAAGAGCGTTCATGAATCAGAAGAACAACCTACAAAGACATTTAGGGAAACAGTTGGGAAGATGTTGGCGAATGTGGCCTATTGTTTTATTGGTTGGTTTGTTCACAGCATAACTCAAAAAGTAATGAATGGACATTGATGACATTTTTTTGAAGAGGTAGGGTATGGCCCACAGAGCAATCCGTTAGATCTTGGTGGTGGTCTAGATCATCTTCCGGATCTAGGAATTTTTTTTAAGGAATCTTCACCATTGTGAGATGGGGCTAAATATCTTGGCTTCTGGCTTCATACATAATGTCTAGAATGGATGGACAAAAACTGTACAATAACATCCATAAGAGATCTACCACTCACCAAATTCTGATCCGGATCCACGTGATATTCCAGATGTGATGATCCAGAATGTTCTGATTTATGTGGCTCATGGAAAACTCACTTGAGACTTGCAGCTAAGATCAAATTCTATCTGAAATTGCTAACTCAGTATGGTGTCAACAAATTTGTTGTATCTTCTAAGAAACCCGCCATTACTGAATTATTGTGATTCCAACTGCTAAGGGTAGGTTTTCATATTGCTTTTAGGTGTAGCAGCATTAATGAGCTGCCTTGGCAGAGGTTTGCGCCCCCTCAGTCCCGTCAAATTTAAAATGTATCAACCAGCACTGCTATGTTTTACACTCACTTGGCAGTTTATTAGGTACACCTGGCTAAAACTAAGTCACTCTAATCCTGCAGTCCTGCAGCAAATCAGCCTTCATGAAGCTAATAATGTTCAATTTTGAACCGTTTCAAAGATGAGTTGATCTAACTGTGAGATCATTTTGGAGGCTGTACTGCACTACACAGAATGCTGCTTCTGATATTTACCCTCACTGATATAAATGAGCTGGAAGAAATAATAGAAGCACCCGTCAGTATAGCACAGTACAGTACAACAGCAGCATGCACTCTGAGTCAGCTGGTTTTACCCCCCCCACCCCCTTTGAATGGGCTTCTAAAAGTGGAAGTAAACCAGTGACGAGCTTCCATTAACACACAGGGATAGGCCTCATATTACTGAAACCAAAAGAATGGGGAAATAACACTAAAAATCTGTTACATGTACCGTTTATGTGCAATTACAGGTGTTGACTTTGTAGTTCTAGCTATAAAGTTACACATACTGTAAAAGGTGCTTCTCTATTTTCTTCTTCTTAACAAAACAACTAATGTATTCTATGTAACAAAACTGCCGTGTTTCTCCTTCATAACCTTTAACACAAGTATTTTCACCCAATTTCACATACAGTTTTGCTGCTCTAAATACTCAGATGAGCACATAACGTCTATTAATCCGCCACTGAAAGTAGTCCCCAAGATACAGTATGCTGGGGACTATTGTCTGAGTAACATTTGCTAAAACTATGGTGCCCAGCTGACTAATGAGTAAATGTGTCAGTCCAGCAGAACTCTCTGGTTACTGCTAATGTGACACCAACGTTACACAAAGCTCAGATTACTCCCAAATTAAAATCATATTAGTTCAGCACAAAGGTAAAATCCTGACCTTGCTAGGTCGCTGATGTTACCGAAACAAACACATTAGCTTTAGATGCTAACACATCCAAAAGGAAGAAGGCCACATCTGAATCCAGTCTGAGTACTCTGGCTGCTTTTAACCCTCTCCATGTCAAAAAGCCAAACCCATGTTAACCCTGGTTGTTGCTCTTTCTTTGTCCCACTCTCTCTGTGCTAAAGACTACTTACTGGTGGTTGGGAAAAAAAACCCTTCTTCTAGCCTTGGCAAGCCAGCAGGAGGGGCTGATTTACAGACCGTACTTAGACAACACAGGGTGGAAAAGCTAAAATAACAACAGAAGGGCTGTAGGCAGCAGAGGGTCATGGAGGGGGGTGTACAGCTGGGAGACACCACGTCCTGTCCCACCGTCACCAGGTTTATCAGACAGCGTGGAAACTCTCTGTTTTTATAAACAAGTGTTTAACTTACCTAAATGCACAATGAGTATTTTCTATTTTTCTTATTTAAATTATAATTGTTATTTTAAGGCCTAGTTAAAAAAAAAACCTTGTACTGGACAAGAGGCACAGATGGGCGCTGAGAAGCTGATTGTTGGCCAGTCATGAAGAACCTAATGCTGATACTATTTCTGAAAGCCAAACCATAAAAGCAAAATATGGTCTTTTTGATGCTGCAGTTCTATAGAGGACCTCTACTTGGCAGAGTCAAAAAACACCTAAAGGAGCTAGAAGAGTCTTGACTTTGTAGAAGACGTCAACGCAAAAGCTGTTTATCGAAGCTTTTCATAACTTTTATTTGAAGATGAAATCAGCTGCACTGAGCCAAATGCCTGCTGGGCACTACTTTTTATTCTTTTTATCCCGCTTGGGACTTTTGCATCAGCAGCTCTTAATTTAATCTGGAAATAAATTTGTGTTGCAACTTTCCACTTATCCATATTTTTATATCTTAAAAAATCTCTAGGTCGTTTAAATGTAGGCATCTCATGACTGGTATAAGGATTTTCTACTACTGTACAAGCCTCCAATGACTTCTTGCTCAAATAGGTATCATCCAGCCATGAAAATCTCAGGTCAAATGATGATCACTTTTATTGACCAAGTATGTTACACACACTCACATGGAATTTGTCCCCGGTACAGAACTGGTGCGACCACTCTACCTCCTGAGCCACAGCGACTTACTGGAGGGACAATGTCAGATTCATATCATTGATAAGGGGCTATCAGTGATATGAATCTGACATTGTCTCTCCAGTAAGTTGGTATAACTGGACAACACATGTCTTTGTCTGCAGCCTCGTAGGACCAGTCTTGTGGTTTTACAGAAGAGGAAAAGAAACATCAGACGCTCCTCTTTCCTCTGAGTGACACTGTTTTTAGCTCTGTCCTGCACTCATATTCACCAGTGGTTAAAGATAGCCAGTTGCAGAACAAAGATATGTGCTCTGAGTCTGTCACGCTGGGTAGTTTCTCAAAGTTGTGACATTGGATGTGTGTGTGTATTTAAAAAAATACATTGACCAGTTTGTGTTAACGGTGCTGTTGGAACCTACCATCCTAGAGCTCAGATGACCTGACGGTATCATGTAAAGGAGAAGTAGCCAACAAATCAGTTGGAGTGCCTTAGCTGTTCAGGTGCAGCAGCCAGTAATTATTATGGTTTTAAACATAATCTGTATGTCTCCAGTTTTACTTGTTGCACTGTTTTGGCATTTCACTTACTATACTTCACTTACTATGTGGCAGGGGAATTGTTATTTTCCAGTGAACATATGGTGCATCAAGTAGAGCTACTGTTGAGTTACTAGTTTGTGTTATCAATTAGAAATGTGTGTAAATTTAAGGTGGATGAATGTGGGTGTTTACCTTTGTCCTTTATAAGGCATGGAAATTGTAATATATTATTCAAAACTGAACATCTTTGGGTTTTGCAGATAACACCTTCAGTTCTGTGAATCTTTGAGTTTTTTTTTTTATTTTTTACTGTTTCCTGCCATTTCACAGACTGATTTATAATGAAAATATTAATTAGTTGCAGCCCTAATCACTAAACCTAAACCAGTCTTCTTGTGTACACATCTGTCTGTTTATATACACACACACAAATACAGCCAAGCAGCTGCTTACCTGTGTCTATGGCCTCCTTCATGTAGACAGCACAGTACGGGTTCAACACCTCTTCATGGTAGGCCAGACTGGGATCTATCTCAAAGCTGGAGAAGCCGATGCGCAGGAAAGGTGACATCTCTGCTGGGTGTTACTCTCCGACCACCTCTCAAATATCCAAACAACGAAACCTTACAGTTTGCAAAGCAGTTTTAAGTGATGAGATTTCTCAGATTCTGGAAACAGCTTCTGTGTCGCTGTCAGCCACCTCACTTGTGTCGCGGCACACACCGACTGCCCCTTTTCCTCCAGAGGAAAGATGTGCTGGCAGGCGAGGGGGAGGTTTGCTGTTTTCCGTCCTTGATGCTTGAAACAACCTGTGAGAGGAAGAGAGAGAGAGACGAAGGCAGAGTGAAAGCTTTGATCACCCGTGACATCATGGCCACAAGAGCTGGCTGTGAGCGAGTTTCCCTGCAAACTCTAAAGTTGCCTGTCAAAGCAGGGTTTCAACTAAATCTACAACAAAATGAACTGTCTAATCAATAGCTTCCATTGTTTGAGCACAGGATAATGTGTGAGCAGCCTTGCCTCTGTTCACACCCAAAAAGCTAACGCAAGATAACAAACCAGGCTTCTGAACCTCGGTGCAAGTAAAATAAAACCACCCATACCTTCAGGGTCGTAGACGCCAGCTGACAGCGTGGCAGAGCCTTTTAGCACCTTGTAAAACTGAACAATCTCTAAAAGAATTCTCTCCAACTTTGCTTTGTGTGACCAGGTTGTACTGCCTCTTTGGCTTTGTGACGGTCGATGTGATATTTGAGGCCTGCTGGGAGCTGTGTGTAGTGGAGAGGAGGCTGTGAGTGACTATTAATAGAGATGAAATCCTAAACGCAGACCAGGAATATACGACTGCATGCGTCTGAGTCTGAAAGACTCCTTGTCATGGTCATCATGTTCAGAAGCTGGCATGAGCCGCCTTCTTTACTCTATCTCCCGCTGACCCTGTATCAGTGGTGTCATGTGGATAGACGGACATTGAAACATACACAAAGTGGATGACGTACGGAAACAAATTTTTGATGTGGGAACCATAAAAGGCAAAATCCTTCTTGTTGCTGTAGCAGCTCATGCACTCAACAGTGCAAATTGACAAATTTTTGGTGTTTGAACTTGTAAGCAGCACATTAATGCAGGCAGTCCATATGGTGCTAGATCTATAGTTAGTCTTAAGGTGTTTACAGTTGGACTTATCGGTATTTGTACTGACAATGGATCAAATGATTGTATTGATTTGTCACTGGAGAGCTGATCCCCTCCACTCTGTGGAGCATTTTAGCCTCTTGTTCTCATTTCCTGCGAAATGCTCAAAAGCCCACCGCTGCTGCCTGCTCAGCACCAAAGAGCAGTAGTTACTGGCACACAGAGAAGCATTTAGCAGCTAAAAAGCCAGACCTTTCCCTCAGGAGTTTGTAGAAATGTAGCATAGCTAAAAGGAGAATGAAGACTGGATTTAGAATATGCTAATGCTGTATCTGCTGGATGTGTAAATAGGCAACTGTTTGCTAACATGTTCATCACATCATCACTGGTCGTAAAGTTAGGTCTTTCCTTTCATCTGCTGATCTAGAAAAGGTCCTGCATGTTTCTATCGCCTTCAGCTGGACTGAGTAGATACAAAATGCCGCTGCCAGGCTTTTGACATGTTCTAAGAGCAGTGACCACATCCCACCAGTGGTGGCTGCCATTCACTGGATACCTGTGAGTTTTAGGATTGCTTTTTGGATTTTGCTGCTTGTTTTTATGGCTTTGAGTGGTTATATCACACTCGCTGCCTAAGATCCTCTTGCCGGGCCTTCCTAATGGTTCCACAGTCTTGACTTGTCACTGAAGGTGACTGGGCCTTTGCTGTTCAAGCCCCCCATCATATGGCCTTCTCCTAAATTAAGCATTGTTATTACAGTTTTAACTGATTGTCATGTTTTAGACTTATGCTCTTGATTTTAATTATCTTTACTTTAAATGTGCAGTGTGTAAGATCTAGAGGGATTTATTAGCAAAAAATGGGCTATAGCATGCATAATTATGTTTTTGTTAATTAATGTGTAATCACCAGAAAATAATAATCATTGTGTTTTCTTTAGCTTAATCTAGCCACAGGGGTTGCAAGCCAGTGACTTCTGTGCCGGTCCCAAGCCCGAATAAATAGAGAGGCTTGCATCAGGAAGGGCATCCGGCATAAAAACATGCCAAATTTAAACATGCAAATCATCAGTGTGAATTCTATACCGGATCGGTCGAGGCCCAGGTTAACAACGATCGCCACCAGTGCTGTTGACCTACAGGCTGCTGGTGGAAATTGGACTATTGTTGGTTGAAGAAGGAGAGGAGGTAGAAGGATTCGTAAACAGAGAGAGAAGAGGAAAGGCAGGAGGATAGGTCTGAGAATAGGGACTCAGTGTTGGCACAATGACAGGGAAAGGTAGAGAGCTGGTGGACATAATGGAGAGAAGGAAGGTAGATATACTGTGTGTGCAGGAGACCAGGTGGAAGGGTAGCAAAGCGCGTAGCATTGGAGGGGGATACAAACTGTTTTATTATGGTGTGGACAGGAAGAGAAATGGGGTAGGAGTGATCCTGAAGGAGGAGCTGGTGAGGAATGTTTTAGAGGTGAAAAGAGTGTCAGACAGGGTGATCAGTTTGAAGTTGGAAATTGAAGGGGTAATGTTGAATGTAGTCAGTGGTTATGCTCCACAAGTAGGGTGTGAGTTAGAAGAGAAGGAGAGATTCTGGAGTGAGTTAGATGAGGTGATGGAGAGTATTCCCAGAGGGGAGAGAGTGGTGATTGGGGCAGACTTCAACGGGCACGTTGGTGAGGGGAAGAAAGGTGATGAGGAGGTGATGGGCAGGTTTGGTGTCAAGGGAAGGAACCTAGAAGGACAGATGGTGGCGGACTTTGCTAAGAGGATGGAAATGGCTGTAGTTAACACCTATTTCCAGAAGAGAGAGGAA